TAATAAAAAGTAAATGGAAACATTCAAGTGGGATGTGACTAGAGGGACAGAAGTCCTGTAGATAGAAACAAAAATTCCCTAGTACCAACACACAAGCTGAGAGAGACACTCCTATAAAAGGCAGTTCTATTTCTAGGAGCAAGTATCAGTGTCCTGAACTCTGTGCCTGTCTTGGGGAATGACAGAATAAATGCAACTTATTTGGGAGAATTCTTCCCATCTAGCTACATAAAGGCAGAATTTCTTGCAGTGGTTTTGAGGGGAACTGTAGAATAAGAAGAAATTAAAAAGCAATGGAAGACAAGCTGTTCTAAAAATAAACCAACCCCAAATCTGCACACACAGCCCTCCCCCTAGACTGCCTCCCTGGAGGAAAATCCACTGCACCATGCAGAGGACTGTATCAGGTATCACCACCATTGTTTTATCACCAAAAAAACTTCCAAGAAGGGCTCCTGTGCCTTCCCAATCCCTCTCTTTTATATGGCAGATGGTGTAATAAGACACAATGCATCCTGCTGATCTCTCCCAAACAAGAAATGTTGGAGGGACAGCTATTTTTTTCAAGATATGCTCCAGGCAAAAAGGTTCACTGAAAGCTGACAATCTCAGCAAAAAATTTTGGAAATTCAGTCTGAAAGCAACCTCAAACTGCTACCTACCAGCTCTGTGACTTCAGAGGTCAAAGGAGGTTCTAGAAGAACCTCAGTGTTTCTCTGCCAAACTAGGAAAGTAAGTTGTTCATGGGGGTCAGTCCTGTATCAAACACTGTCCAGTACTTGAGTAACTCAGCTGAAACCACAAAGAAAACTTTTCATCCATCTGTACATTATACAAAGCCTGAAAAAAAGTGCAGCATGGTAGAGAATGTGATTGGAAATCAAAATTATTTGGAGAAATTAGACAAGCACTTGGAATTCAATATGAAAGATTTCATTAAAGAGAAGGGCAAAGTCATATAGCTAGTGCAAATAACTGCAGAACTCCAAGATGGAATCACCTGCAGAACTACAAGATTGGAATGGAGTGCAGTTCTGAAGAAACCAAATAATACAACAGATCACAAACTGCAAACAGTGTCAGTGTTATAAGAAAATTCAATAATGGAATGTAAAACAAGGAGCAAAAGATCTAAGGTGCATAGAAGCCCAGCTTGTTTGGCTACAAGATAAAAAAGCTAGATCAATTGCATTGCAGAGGAAAAGAGTTGGAAGATAATTTATCAGGGTAGGGAGTTTTATTCAGTCTAGAGACTAAGGAATAATGCACATATAGTAACAACATTTTACATATTTGGCAACTAGCTCTACAGAAACATTCTGCTTATTTAGACTGGATGAGCAAGTACTGAACTGAAGAATTCAGGAATAAAAAATTTAAGTTTAGGCTAGAAAAAGGAAAAAAAACTCTAAGAGTAGACTTGAGAGCATGGACATAGATGTATGAGACCTGACATTGGGAATTTAAGATTATATCATGTGAAGGCAGTGGCTCCCAAACTCTTTCAGCCAGAGGACCCACTGCCAATCAGATCCCAAATCTTGCTGATAAGCACTGAAATGTCAAGTTAGTATATATTCATATATTGCTAGCATGCCACTGAACATTTGGTTAGAAGAGCACCTGCAAGGAATGGTTTTGGTAGATGCTGATCCTCTCTTGCACAAGGAAATACACTATGCAAGTGTTTCTCTGTCCTTTAAATTTAGAGAGGAAGTGGTCATATTAAAAGGAACCCACAAATCACAGTTTTCTGATGTTCTTCTGGGGAAATAGAAAAAAAAAAAAGTAACAACTGTTGCTTACCACTTCTTATACCAGCAAAAAATAGATTAAAAAAAGTGATTTGAAACATTAATACTGATAGAGCAATGAACACGACTCATAACCAAAGCATCACTGTTTGGACATTTTAGAGAGATTTCAGTCATTTCTTATAGCTTCAATATGTTAAGATAATAAACATGAGAAATAAGGCAAAGAAGACTCATTTATGCAACCCCCCAAACATTTTTCTGGTGAGCTCTGTTCTCAAGACTTATTTTTATTAAAAAAAAAGTGTTAGCACGTAGCCTGAGGCACCCAACAGAAGGACAATTTTAATGATGTCTTCTTTTATAGAAAGTTTTTGTTAACAATCTGCTAAGAACAAAAATTTCCCATTTGTCACTGGCACTGTATCAAATTTTCCCAAGGCAAACAATCTCAGCCATTGGAATCATCTCCCCCAGGGAAGTGGTGGATGCCCCAACACTGGACATTTTTAAGGGTGCTGGATCACCTTATGCAGACTGTGCTTTTGCCAGGAAAGGTTGGACCAGACAATCCTTGAGGTCCCTTCCAATCCTTGTATTCTATGATTCTATAAAATTTGCTTAGTTTTCAAGTAGTATTCATAGGCTACACATACACCTGAGAACCAAGCAATAAAAATCACATCAAAATACTTGGGTAGCACTACACATCATCTAATGTGTATGGGGGGAAGGAGGGCAGGTCAACACCTTAAGATGACCTAGACAGAGATTTATACCAGCTCATATAGTAACAAATCTAATTATACATTCTGTTTAGCTATCTGGACTGCATTCCTAGTAGCATCTGAGCCAAGGCTCCAAACTTAGTAAGAGGGAAACAGATTTTGTATGTGGATGAGATAAATTCCCATATCTCCTTGACAGCAGGGCACACAATCATTGGGACACACATACCAAACACTCTCCTGGTGGAGAGAGAGGGAAGAGGAACATCTCATTCTAGGAGAAAATACCTAGTATATACAAAGATGCAAAATCAAAAAGCACCTAAGCCCATGTTAAATTCAGCTGAAGCAAAAATGAATTCATAGCTGACACAGACACTCATGTAAGAGAACTGATTGTTTTTTTCCCTTGCTGAACACTTTTTTGCTGAGAGAGAACAAACAACTCTTTGAATAACCACAGCAAGCAGCCAACCTGTAAACTTCCTTTTCTTCCCCCTCCATCTCCCTGCTCCACTGAATAGAACAGCTTTCCCTGAAAAGATTCCAACTCCAAACCTTTGGATAAGCTATCACTGACCTCAACTGCTCTGAAATGTCATATTAGTCAATATGCTTGTTCAGTATTCTTTCTACTCCATCTGTAGGGATCCAAATTCACCCCAGACAGAAATATGCTGTATCTCCACCAAAATAAGAGCAGTGGCACCTGCTTATTTAACTCAGTACCTAAAATCTTATTAGCAAAACAAAAAAGTCTGGTGAAAAATGACACCAATTTACTGCCATGTAAGAACTGAGCACTACTTGAAATTAAGAAACAGTAATTATTAAAATTCCTGACAACTGAAATCAGCAGCAGTTCCAGACAACTCTTTCTAGAGTTTATTTTAAGATTAATTTTTGCACCTCTCACTTTCTCCTGCTAATACTTCAAGCTTAGTCTCAAGAAGGCAATTAGGTATTTTATTGCCCAAAGTATTGTTCTTACACCACAGAGAAGACTGACTTACAAATGAAAGAGCCTCCACACTAAAACAGAAGTAATGGAAAACAAGTTTCATTTTTCCTCTTCATGTCAAATCAACAGTACACTCAGTTCCATAATCTGGGTTGGGCTGCCTTCCCTCCTCCTCTCTTTGTACAGGCTTAAGTGAAAAGCTTTTGAGACATATTTCCTAAGTACATTAGTTTCACAGTGGAACTGATCCAATTAAAACAGGACTCCATTTGTAATATTTCTTTAGGTATCCCATAAATTCCAACCTCAGCTGTGAGTGACTTACCTTTTCTGTAATCTGACAGTACTAGGATTTTTAATGAAGAGAGGAAAGAATATTAACTACTAAGGGACTTAAAATTCCATCCAGCCTCACAGATTCACTATAAGACTTTGATTTTTGTGTCTGGAAAGGTGGCATGTGATCCATGGAAGAGTGAGACACACTGTGAAAAATGAAATTGCTGAAAAAAGAAACTAGAAACTGGCTAAAAGTTGCCCACAGGTTAAAAAAAGGCAAAAAAAAAAGGCACTGGGGAAGACAAGAGATATTATTCAAAGTAACTCCCAAGAAAGAATGTAGAATAGATGTTTCTGGTGAAGAAGATCTAAACCAATATCCAGCTTCTCCATCTCATTACTCTCCCAATAGTTTTTGGGAAAAAGTATTTATTAACATCCTTACTGAGTAACAGACACAGAGTTAAAGTGGCTATGCAAAAAATCTCCCATCCAATTCATCTTACCTGCAGCACAAGCAGAACAGTCATGATATGGTGCTACTCTACATGTAAAAAAGTTTAATTCCTTCCTACACAGTGTCTTTTGAAAGGGGACATAAATTTGAAAGGATATCAGATTTCATCTTACAATTTCTTTCCTCTAATCACAAACAAGAGATATTTTTGATTCCAAAAGAATAAAACATTGGAATTAAAATAACATATCCACTTTAATCCACCAATACATGGCATAGATCAGGACAAATATCTAACTTTATTATAAACAACAACTTAATACTTTATAAACTGTAGATCTATTCATTAGCTTTGAACCAAGTGCAAAGTTTTCTAAGCTTTACATAAAAACTGTGAGCTAAACAAAAAAATTCTTAGAAGAACAATAACTTTTGCCCAGTTTTCTCCCTTTTTTTTAAGCTGATATGGACATCTTGTCTCAGTTGTTCTGAACAAAGTGGAAAACACAAGGAGCTCACTAGCTCAGTCTTTTTAAAGAAAAATCAACGTTCTGACAGCTCTCAAAGAACTGCAGGAACTTCCTTTGACAGGAGGAGAGAGAATGTCAATACTAGCAGAAAACCCCATTAACTTATCTGTACCAAGGGGATACTAAAGGTGAGATTAATTGAAAGAAGATAGGAAAGAGGAGAAGACAGTGAAAGAAATCAATAATGAATTTACTACATAACCATGAATGAGAAAACTGTATTATTGGAATTATTTGGAATTGACTTTCTTCTATTTCTGTAGATATTTTCTCATTTTTTTTTCTACTTACCTAGACCTTTTTGTCCAGGGTTTTTAGCAAAGTTAAAAGTAAACTGATAAAAATCTTTGAACTTGGTTGGATCCTTTAGCTCTTGTTCCAGTCTTGGCAATAAGGCTTTTAGTTTTTCTGTGGTGTCACACCTGTTCAAAAGAGGTTACATGATTTGGAAGTTTTAGTATTCTTTTTTATTATTTTATTTTTTAATTTTTTTTTTAAGGCTTAGTTTCAGAGTAAAATACAACAGTAGTTAAGATAATACAACAGTAAAGATAAAAACAGAGTGCCTTTCTGGATAGCATCCTGAAAAATATAAACACTCTTATGCCTTTACTAAACTATTTTAAGTGAAACATTATATATAGCCATCCATTAAATATACAACCTAAACAGGATTCAGTAGTTTAACTTCTTTTCTCATCTCTTTGTGAGTTTATGAACTCAATAGATGTTATTCTGTTCTAAAGAACATATAAACTTCACTGAAATCTGCTACCCTTTCCCCTTTTCCAGCTGTTGTAACACAAGGGCATGGGGTTTTGTTTTAATGTAGACAGACATCACTTATTCCCTGCTCTATCTTAATGAAGAGCTGCATACTATGTTCATTGTTAACCTTAGCCTTAGTTAATCTTGCTGAAAAATCCTCTATGATTTGCAGTCATCCTCTCCCCACCACAGAACACTTGGTGATAAAACCTAGGAAAAAAAAATGAGCCTTTGACAACAGCTGGAAGGCTGACAAACCATTTCACAGGCTGGCACAGGTAAGCTAAGACAGAATCAAGTTACTGAGATTAACAGAAACACATCCCTTAATAACACAAGACTGGGGCATTTTCAGTGAAAGCACCAGAGCTGACAACATGTCACTTTTAAAGAAAAATAGTTTCCCTCAAGCCAAGGAATGAAATGAATATTCAAGGGATATTACCAATATTTTGAATTGTACCTAGAAACTCAAAGCTGTTTCAAAGCAGCACCTATCATAACTAACATCTTGCATTTGAAAAGTTCTCAGGAGCTAAATATTTGTATTTATTTTCAAGATTCAAGGCTATTTTTATTGAAGGATGGATAACAACAGCAAAATCCATAAGATGCAGAAGCAGTTTTAACTGTCTTGTATGGTACAGATTAAAAAAAACCAAACCAAAACAACCTTTCTGGCCTCCAGCAGTACCTGGTAGAGAAAAGACAAAGAATTCTACCAAGTCTTCAACTGAGAACCTCAGTTTCATGGACATTTGTCTTGGTTCCAACAACAGAAACAAATCTCACACTTTCCCATGCATAGCCTAGAAGTGCTATAGGGACTAAGGAAATTATTTTCAATCAAATCTTTACCTCTGTTCAAGGCAAAAAACCAGTATGTAACAAAAATTATTGTAAATTCTCACTAAGCACTACAGCAGTGACAAGTAGGTATGATCAGAATGTGCTCCCAAGAACACAATAATGTGTGTTGAACAAAGACAAAAATCACAGACCTCAGTGGAACTGTATCAGAGTCACGAGGACATAGGAGTGATGTGAAAATAAAGCTACAAAACAAAATCCAGAAGCCACAGATGGTTTAGCAAAACCTTTTTAACCAGTTACATTAAATAATGCTGGCACCCTCTATTATAACATCATGAGCACTTGATTGCTGTCCATGGGTAGAAAACCATAAAATTATTCTTACAGTCTCTACCCAACAGGCCAAAATAAAGCAGTGCATTTCAGATGATATCAAAAGTTATTTCAGCAAAATTTCTGAATGCCCTTACCTAAAAAGGAAAGCTTAGGAAGAAGTCAGTAACAACACACTGCTAGGACCTCTGGTGGAGAAACAACCATCAAATTCATGAGAAGTTGGTCTATTGTAGGTTGGTATTGATAAGGTGCCATTCTAAGATCAAATCAAGTTATTTAGCCAGAAAAAAATATGCACAACTAATACACAACTGCAATTCTCCACCTATCTAATGCAGCCTGTTTAAAACACAAAAGCTGCCACTTCTCTATTAGAAATAGTGCACCACTTCTAAGGAAAAATTGTACAGAAAATATCATTATGATATGGTGATAAATGCTTCACTTTATTGCTAAACAGAGGCAACATGGTTTAACCTCAAAGTCTATTCCCCAGAACAGCTCCATAACTCAGGAATAAAAAAGCTTGTTATCAGTTATAGCAGACTAAATCTTTCCACTACCAGTATGCTCATTCTTACTTCAAATTTTCATAAATATTCTGTACAAATGAAGTATCTAGTACACAATAAGAGAAAACTACAGTTTGTAAAGCTGGTGAAAAGAAAAAATAGTTGCATTTGGTGGTGATAAGGTAAAAGAATTGAAGATTCTTTTCTACTTTCCTATTTCTTTCTGCTTCAAACCTGACTGAACCATCTTTTTCCTTCACACATATCCAGCTTTTAACAACACAGGGTCCAACTCAAAACCTTAACACAACCATGCACATGTCTGTACAAATTACATGGCAAGATCAGCACATCTATCTGGTTTTGGTGCTGTACAGGTAGGAATTATTTGGGCTCACCCTTACTGCAGTCATGGTTCAGGCTTTGCAGTAAAGCATCAATTTAAGGAAGACAGGACACCACGGGCACTTAGCACCTGTTAAGCTTGGCACCAGCCTCACCAGCTTTCTGAAGCTTCACACTCAACTTAAAAATGTTTTAAATAAAAACCCAGCTCAGGCTTTACATTCTGAGTTGTGCAGAAATGGATACTTACCCCAACTCTGTCATGCCATCAACAAATTCCTTTTTACTGAATTCACATTGAGTAGCTGCCCTAAACTTCCAAGCCACAACCAGAACACTGATACTGGCTGGGTCCAGGTTTAAATCATCACAGAACTGTTGAATCCCATCGATGCCAATTTTATTTTCATCTTGGGGGTCTGCAGTTCAAAATACAAAGAGGAGAACTGTAATTATTTGCAAAAAAAAATATTTACAAATAATCACCTGCACAGCTTTCATATGCTGCATAACACAGGTCTTAATTTCTTCATAAGCTTCACAAATATCTTCACTTGAGACCTAGTTAATTTTAGAAGTACCTTGAAGAGTATCTGTAAATAGATTAAGTATTCTGCAAGCTTCCTAGAAATTGCTTTGCAGCTTTTTTCTAAATTCATCAACCAACCAAATAGTTTTGGCTTCTCTCCACCATGCTCTGTGAAAGACCTGAATTAACTGAGGAGATGCCTGACTATATCTAAAAAAAGTAAGGCTGATGAATGCATAAAAATATACAATATATTTATTAGTTAGCATGTATTAAACCTTAAAAGGAAAAAAAACCCAAAAGAACAAAACCAAGCAAAAAAGCCCAAACCAAAAAACCCCCACACCTACCAAGTGAGCCCACAGATTTTTTTTCCTCATAGGGATATAAAAGAACTCACAATAACTGGTTAAAAAACACAATTAACTCATTTTTTAAAATTATATGCCAGGAAAATCACCAAAATATTACTCAAATTATGCCTCAGCATGACAGGGTCTTAAGCTAAACACTACAACTTACAGACTACTGTTTAAGTAGTGGTATGCTTACCAGTTTTTGAAAGTAAGAATCACACTTTGCAACTACCTAGGTCAGGGCACATTTTGTAACAATTCTGTAACAAAATCCCAAACAAAAAACCCCAAACAAACAAAAAAACCCCTGTTTGTAAACTTAAATAATTAGAGGGGAAAACAACAACACCACAACAGCAGAAGAAATGCATAATATCCTCAGTTTCAAAGCTTGACAGTTTACAAACTACAAAACTGCCTTTCCCAGCTTTTGACAGGAAGCTCTTTCAGTGTTTGACTATGTAGAAAAGCATCCCTCAAATGCTTTAACCCCTTAATTCTTTAAACTTAATTAAGAATTAAATTAAAATTAAGAATCCCTTAATTCTTTAAACTGGTAAGATTTTTTAACCATGTCATTAAATCCTTATCCAACGAGTTGATTAAAATAAATATATTTTTTTTTAAAAAAAAAAATCAAACTACTTTTTTGGAGGGGGTGTGTAAAGCTAATATCTTCTCCATTTTCAACCATGTCTTTAAGTCCTTATCCAATGAGTTGATTAAAATAAATATGTTTTTTAAAAATCACTTTTTTTTTGGAGGGGATGTGTAAAGCTAATATCTTCTCCATTTTTCCAGCCAAATCTACAGTGGGAGAAATGCTGAAACACACAGGGGAAGTTAATTTAGCAAGCAAAGACTTATCAATTAAACAATTACAGCCATGGTTTAAGTGGTAGAATTCAGGGACCTCTGAGCAGGAATAAAAAGCAAACTTATCTATTCTACTGTATGCCAGATCTAGTTCTAAGACATGTAAAATGCATTTCTTTTGTATTTGGGGAGTAACTGAAGAACCAAATGCAAAAGCTGCACTAGTGTTGGAATCAGTGGGAAAATTCTGATGGATTTCAAGCAGGGCTGTTTCACTCTTCCCATGTTTCACATCATCCAGGTAACAAAAATGAAACTGTTGTTTTGACAGAGTTGCTCAGTAAGAATAACTTATAAGAAAACAAAGATACTACAGAAAATGAAAGGCCTCTCATCTCAGATTTCAAAGACAGTGCAATGTGCATAGAATTCTGTAAGTCCTGTGGGACAAAGGAATTCCTTGTTGAGAGGCCAGTGAGGTTTGAGCTACATGTGAAAAAAGGAAAGGTGCTTAACCCATTATTTCTTTGTTTTCTCTGAAATGTTGTCAAGGTTTTGTTCCAGTTCACTTCTTAAGTGTTAAAGGGCTAGAACTGCAAAGGTGTGCTGCTAAACAAAACATGAAAAATAAACTTAACTAGATTCTCACGTGGTAGTTTGCCACCACTAGAAAATTATTAATAATAAATAACACCCGTGATTTTTTTCATTTTGGATATTCTTAGTAGCATTTATGAATCTGTATATAGTGTTGAGCCAGCAAGCTCCAAGCCTGATATGCAAGGAGCAAGAAAAAAAATGTAAAGATGTATCTATATGTATGTTATATACATATTTACATCTAAAACAAATTTTAAGAGTGGTTCTCTAGGTTTATGTTTGGGTTTTTTTTCCACAAAGGAAACAATACAATGTTGCTGGTTCTTTGTCCTCACAGTATTAATTACATAATAATGAAATCCCAAATAATATCTATACTTAAAATAGAACATATTAGATAAAGAGTAACAAAAAAGGTGGAAGCAATATTGTAAGAATAAAATAAAGTGTATAGAAAGCTTTCCATCTAAAGTACATAAAACCATAGCTGAGTAATTGTGAAGAGCTTGTTTTTTAAGCACAAGATGTATGGATCTGAGCAAGGGCTGACAAAGATTCCAGCCTGCTCTAACATGTTATGAGCCATGCACATGCTCAGGTCAGACAGCCACATTTCAGGAGGCATTGTTACCTGGACCATGTACATTCTTGTAGTTACATTACTACCTTTTCCTTGTATTTTTTCCCCTTTTTTTTTGTGATGCTGTAAAATGAAAACACATGGAAAAGAAACAACTCTGCCTTTAATCCACCTCCCTGTGGTTTTCCCTCCAAGCTGCTCTGAAAAGGCACATCCCTTTTGCTGTTATATGCCAGCAAGCAGACTAAAATAAGGCTGGAGTTTCTATGACTGGCTTTTGAGTTCCCTTATTTGATTGTTTTGTCAGACTCCTAGTCATAACATTATCTGAAACAATTATTTTAATGTATAAAAATACGACTGTCTTTGAACATATTAACTCCCCAAATATTAGTATAATAATATGTATTATTTTGCCACATAAAGTACACTGTATGTATATTTCATGGCAGCCACCAGCAATAAATCAAGTAAGTTGCATAAGAAGTTCTACTCTCCACCATATGCAGCTGACATGGTTTCCTCACAATAGGCTTAATTTCCTACTGTGAATTTACTTTAGAGGAATTTCTTCAAAAGTTTCTTCTACTGAACATGAAGAGCATTTAAAACCTTTCCAATTCTTATTTCAGTTCTGGAAACAGTGAGGAGCAAAAGCTAGCAGTCTTTCCTTACAAGTCCTTAAAAACTGCAGAGAGAAAAGGAGAAATACCACCCAAACAAAATAACTAGGCAAAAAAAAAACCCCAAAACAAAAAGAACCAAGCCTTACCTTTGTATCGATTATACAACTGCTCTAATTTCTTCCTGTCTACTGAATTTTTCATGGATTCTTTGTAGTACAAGTCTGGATTCTGGAAGTAGTTGTCTGTTGCCACTTCTAGTTTCCATTCATTCTGCATCAAGCAGTAGATAGCAGTCCTTTCCCCAGCCTGGGTAAAGGCCATAAACTGTCGGACCTTGTCCTTCTGAGACGATTTAAGCTTATGCTTTGGGATGCAAAAGAAGCAGGAAAGCCAATGAAGCTAATCCAGAAGTTTGTTTCAGCATTCTACTACTAATGCCTATCTTTTAAAAGGTTTTAGTTTTCTTGCTGATGACAACTTTCACTTCAGAATTAGAGGAAGACAAAGCCTTGTTCTTCTGCAGTTAAAAAGACAGCATTTTCTTCTGAAAATTGAAACGACAGCATCTATAGATACATTTTTAGCAGCACGTATTCTGGCAGGAATACACTTGTATTTCTGCTTTATGGCTCACAAATGCACAAGCTTTTCTGTTCTGTAACAGCAGTAAACACAAGTTTCATCATATAACAATATGGGTATCTTCTGAAAATAGGCCTGGTGGTTATAAAAACAAGAAATTACAAAGGCACAACCTGTAGACTCTCATATTCTATGTAACTTCTTCATACATGAAGAACTGCTCAACAGTTTTCCTAATAATTTGCTAGCAACAACAAGCAATGCAAAGCTCAATAATTTTAAGTGATCAGGTGAAAAAATGGCAGCATTTCTCCCATTTTTAGGTTGCAATCTTTCTCACTGCCAACAGAATAAAAGACAAAAAGAAAATAGATAATGCTGACATGCCAGAGATTTGCTGAATGTTACAACAAGACTATTGCAATTTAATTGGTATGAAGTTGCTGTAAATGTGATCTAAAACTAAAAGATGTTTATACTATTAATATATTAAACAACAAAACTGTCTGTTATAGTGGTATACAGGAACCAGTAAGATGTTTCTCTTAATTGCAGCAACCATATCTACACAACACCCCTTAACTTCTGTAACACCCAAAAGGTGAGAACAGGGATTCTATAGGGAGGAAATTTGCTATTAACATAGTTCAATACTAGTCATTACACGAAGCTGGAAGAAAGAGGAGATAGTTACCTCAAACTCTGGTTTTTTTGTGGTTTTCTGCTACTCCTCAATCTTCTTAAACCATACTTCAAACACGTTCAGGGCCAATAATTAAGCCATGAAATTTAAGCTCCTCGCTACTGCTCAAATCATTAGATATAACTGAAAACTTACTGGTCTCTTCAATAACGGGGGAAAACTGAACTCTGATTCAGTGAGCAGTAAACACAGCACCACCCGGCAGCCTACTTATCTCTTGTACACATATGGATGGTGGCATCTTGACTACAGATGGCACCGAGACAAGAAACGCATCATGTAAACAAGGTAAGGACTTTGCTCTGCCCTACAAGAATGTTATACAGCGGTTTTTTTTTTGTACTATGTATAAAAAGCATACAAAGTACACATAAAGTAGGAAAAGAGCTGCAAAAACAACCACAATGTGTTTTTTTAAAAGAAATACTCAACAACCCTCTAGCTACAAGCTGTTTACCTCCCCTGGCCCCCAGTTTTCATTTAAGTCTAACTACGGAGCTAATTATTAAGTCTAACTATTAAGACTAACTATTAAGTCTAACTACGGACCCGG